AAACTGTGCTGTTGAAATCCTCTGAAACTGCAGTTAGTGATGAGATAACTCTGCACATTAACATGAATAATTTCACAGCTAGTACACCACAGCTGATGTTGGTCACTCTGAGCTAACTGAATTTTCAAAAAGTGACGAGATCAAAACTGGACATGTCAAAACTCCATGATCCCCAGCATAAATACCACCTTTACTCATACACAAATAAATTTGAGCAATATCAGTGTGAAACAGAGAGGAGAAAAACTAATCATTGGGCAATGATGTTGATAAATGACAAAAATGAGTTTGGTGTGCTAGTCCTGTGCAATTTCAAATAAATAGTGGGACGCTAGGAAGTTTTTTTAAAAAATTCCTTTTAATGTTCCTTTTAAAAAAAAGGAATGTCAGATGTGTCCAGAATGGTGAACAGAGCTGTAGATGATTTCAAAATGACACAATGGCACAACATCAAGAATGGATTCCTAATAAAGTAACATCTAGAACGCCTCATATTTGAAAAGTGGTGATTAAAACTTGAGGTACATAACTTAAAAAAACAGATAATTACAGTATATTATTTACAGTTGAAACGCAAAATCTTTTAAATATTGAATAAAACATCTAAAAAATATCTTTTGGTGCCTAGCTTATAAGATGACAATCAGCATTGTATAAGTTGTTATTGTATGAAGAATAACAGAAATTCTTAATAGAACAGACTCCAAACTTCTGAACAGTAGCACATTACAGTCAATTGTAGTCTTATTGTTTGTCAGTAGGGGGCGCCATGCTAAAACTTAAATGAGTCGGATGTGAGGTTGGCAACATGGTCTGCTGTAGTGTATAATAAACTATGTTTCCACTTCAGTGTTTTCTAACTGTGATACATTTTGCATGGTTTAAAATTAGAATGTTTTAGTAACAGTGTGCTATGATCTTAGTGGTGTTGGGCTATTATAGACCTAAATTAATGCTACAGAAAATTTGATCTGACAGATATCATGATGTGAGAATCAGAGCTCCCCATTGTAAAGAGTGGCATGGTGTACATTCAAATTACCGTTGACTCATTCGTACTAGCACTCAGGAAAGGCATAAATGGTGTATATAAGGCCAGCAGTAACATCATAAAATAACTACACCAAATCAGTATCATTGATCAGGTTAATTACACAGGCCTCATACCATTTAATATACAACGTACTAATGTACCATTGTGCATTCACAACAGTATCACAAACAGCATAACAAACACACTGAAGAACCATTTCACCATGCAAAGAAGCATTTAAGTATGCAAATGGTTTTGTGGGTGTCTATGGTTCTATATAGAACCATTATCTTTACTAAAGAACCTACTTTTTTAAAGAGTGTACTGGATACATTTAGGACAGTGTGTTCAGTATTCAGCCATCACTACTTGTTCAAAATATTTTGCCCAACCCTGAGCATAATAGCTATTAACAGAGATTGGTTACTGTCATTACTGCTAAATAAACATTACTGTAAAAGATGACTGTGAAAGCAGGACTACCTTCAACATAATAGCTAAATTAGACCAGGTCACATTTGTTATTGTCAGTACTGATAACTATGAATGTGAAAAAAGGCCTATCAGGGAAGAAGCTTTAACTCTCCCTAACCAACTGAAGAGGTTACAGCTGAAACCTCTCATTGTTTCTAATTTCCTCAGCTTCTCCAACTTGGTTTTCGTTTAAATGAGTGTGTTTCTCCTCATGAATCCTCACAAACTGTTATCACTTCCTTCGAAACTGTTCATTTCTCTCAAACTATAATCAGTTCCACTCATAAATTCCTCTCAGATGGTCATCAAATTCTCCCAGAAACTCCTCTCAGACATCAGCTTCTCTCTAACGGCCATCAGTTCCTCTCCAATAGTCGTTAAATTCTGAAAAAACTGCAGAATCAGCTGCTCAGCTGTGTGTGTGTTTTTCCTCCTTCGCGACGTGACGCTCCGTTTAAACGTGAAGCCGTTTGAACAGACGGTTACACAACGCTCTTGACCTGAAGTGGCCTCGCATTGGCCCACTCCGCGGAGGAGCTGCCGCGTTCCCCGCCTGCGATTGGTCGACTCGGCCGCTGGGCAGGGCTTGTCCACACGTTCCATTCACAAAAATCTCCGAGGCTGTTGCTCGAGCACATGCACGCGGCGCCTTTAAAGGCGCAGGCCCCGCCCCCTCTTCAGGGAAACGGCTCCCTATTGGTCAGCCTGTGTGGCTCGGGAAAAAATGTGTGTGGGTGCGTGCATGCGCGTGTGTGTGAGTGTGAGTGCGTGCGCGCTGTGTACGCCACCTTAATTCAGCGTTTTATTTTTTATCGCGACATGTTCCGTCTGATACGAGTCCATTTAGTCTGCAACGACAGACTTATTGGGTTTTGATCAAATGATCAAATAATGTCTGTGTGTGTGTGTGAGAGAGACAGAGGGAGAGAGAGAGAGTCCGTTGGTAGCTGTAGTCATGTGAGTGCTGTTGGTGCTAGTGTGCACTGATCAGCCATAACACTAAAACCACCTCCTTGTATCTACACTCTTAGTCCATTTTAACAGTTCCACTTCCCGTAGAGGTGCACTTTGTAGTTACACAATAACAGTCTGTAGTCCATCTGTTTCTCTGCATACTTTGTTAGGCCCCTTTTACCTTGTTCAGGACCCCCACAGGTCCACCTCAGAGCAGGCGTTATTTGGGTGGTGGATCATTCTCAGCACTGCGGTAACACTGACGTGGTGGTGGCATGTTAGTGTGTGTTGCGCTGGTATGAGTGGATCAGACACAGCAGTGCTGCTGGACTGAGAATGACTGACAAACAAAATAATACCTGCTCTGTGGTGGTCCTGTTGGGGTTCTGACCATTGAAGAACAGGGTAAAAGGGGGCTAACAAAGTATGCAGAGAAACAGATGGACTACAGTCTGTAACTGTAGAACTACAAAGTGCACCTATATAGTAAGTGGAGCTGATAAAATGGACAATGAGGGTAGAAACAAGGAGGTGGTTTTAATGTTGTATATTTAATGTTGTATACTGTATATTTGTTGCCTTTGTCTTCTAGCTGTTACTGTTCTAGTGTTAGTGTTGGTGATCCTACAGTACTGTGCCAAAGTCAGAGACCCCCTTTATTTAGTTAATTTCCACTCAAAACTGCCATTAAGCAGAAGTTATTTATTTTTCAGAGGATATTTTGATATTTTTGAGGAGATTAGATATAAGACAATTCACTTGGAAAGTCAAACAAAAATAAGTGAAAAAGAACAGGCGTTTCCAAAACTGGGACTCCTAACAACCATGCAAGACCTGGTAGACAACCAAAACTCCATCAGATTAACAGCACTTAAAGCTTTTATCCTTGAGAGAAAATCAAGCTCCACTTTTGCTTCAGATCTGAAAAATCTGTTTCTGTCCATCCTTCCACTGGGAGAAGACAACTCAAGTAGCCATTACTGAGAAAATGAAATACAGAAGAAAAAAAATAAAAAGAAGAACATTTGCACATCAAACAAGGAAGCTGTGAAAAGAATGGAAGCTGTAATAAAGGCAAATGTTGAGACACTAAATACTGAAACTTTTAATATCATATTTGTATGTTTTATTTGATAGTTTTTTTTATTTTTATATATTTCTTTCTTTCAAACTATGTTTTCTGCTTTTTTCCTTATGCAAAAATGAATATCTTGTATTTTAAAGCCATTTGACTAGAACTTAAAGTGGTATCTGACTTTTGCACAATACTCTGGGTGTGTGTGTGTGTCTACCTGTCTGATGACTGAAAGTGAGATGTGCGTCTGATTAAAGGGTATTGCTGTCTCTCGCTATGGGCCCTGGAGCGCTTTCTGCCTTCTACATAATGAATGTTTTGAAATGCGATCTGCCTCCACCTGTCCAAGAGAAATCAGCAGCAAATACCTCCACATAAGGACCCACATATACTCTTACCTCAGAGATTAGTGTCATTCAACACTTTAGAAAGTCTCTTTAGATGTATATTTAGACACTGTTTCCTAAACAGAAACATTGTAAAGTGCATAGCGTTTTCAGTCAGATGTATATGAGACCATATGAGACAGGGTCTTTTAGTAAACATAGGAGTATGAAGGTACTGTGATGAACTGAATTTTGTCTGGTTAAACTGACTCTAGAGACGGCCTTTATTTACAATTGATAATTCACTTCAAAATAGTTTAAGTTATTAGTTTGTAAGTCTTTAAAATGACGAGATACAATCATCAGCTAACAAAATAAAAGAAGCAAACAAAATAGGTGAACAAAATGGGAAAGGAAAGCAGAATAGGTTAACAACAAATTGGACTAACGAGCTAGGAAAAGCTCATTAAGTTGATGAAGGGAGAAGGAATATCAAAACAGGCTAACAAGACACAAAAAAGACACCATAGGGGAGGAAAGCTAACACCAGGCTAAAGTAGGAATGCCAACAAAATATTAAAACGGAAAAGGAAACATAGGCTGTCAGGGTGGAGGAGGCTAACGCAGCAGGCTAGCGCTACAGTGAGGAATGAAAAGATCTCGGAATGTCTGTCGGCTGATTCACGAGCTGCTTCCGTCAACGGCGTCACAACATTCAGCAGAGTGGTGGCCGTTATTAACGTTTCCTACGTTCTGTAACGGTCGTGTGAGGAGAACAGACTGGTCTGATCTAGACGACGCTTCGTGGTAAAGTTTGTTCTGCGACCACGTGTCGATGAGAACGAGAGGTTCTGCCTTTATTATTGTATTGCATAATGACCGTGTTCCTATCAGGAGAGAGAGAGAGAGAGTGAGTGGGGGTAGGGTGTGTGAGTGCGCGTTTAGCGGCCACGCTCGTGCGTCTGGCTCACTGGAACGTAGAGCTCCTTCTAAAACACACACGTCAAACACGTGGGGGCGGGGCCAGAAGCGCGGAGAGCGCGGGCCAATCGGGAACGAGGCGATCAATTACTGGTCAGCAGACACGCCAATAGGTGTTGACTGTGTGGCGGAGGCGGCCAATCAGCGGGTGCGCGTGGACGGGACTAAATTCGGCACGTGTGTCCAGGCACATGTTGACGTCGAGAGAGAGAGAGAGAGAGTGAGGGAGAGAGAGATACTGACAGAGAGAGAAAGAGAGAGAGGTGGAGAAAAAAACAGCGAAGGAAACGCGAGTAAACCTGCGGTGGTCTGGCGGAGCCCATGCACCTACCGAGCAGCCGGGATAAGAGTCGAGGCCGGTGGCGGAGTCGTTGGGTTTGAACCGCTTTCAAGGTGAGGATATTTGTATGTTTATAAAATTGAAATTTGAATTGTTACACGTGCACGCGGACGACCGTTGGTCAGGTCCGGGAGCTCGCAGTCACTCTGGTAACTCGGTTGTCATGACATCGTAGAGAAAGAAGCAGAGGTTCGATACTGAACGCTGTTTTTGTGCCTGTGGTTTTATTAGCTGTTAAGAAACGGGACGTGAGCTCTGGATTTGTCTCAGATTTCGGCTTCGCGGACGCCGTGTTTTGTATTTTTTGCCAGTTCTGCTTAGCTTAGAGCTACTTTTCAAGCCAAGGGAGTCTCTCAGAGAAGTTCCGGTCAGCAGTCTGGAGTTCCTCACACCTGAATCACAGACCCAACACCTGTGAGGCACGACTTCTCCACAGGCGTAGCCACGTTTGTATTCCTGTCTTTGTGGCGGTATTTCCATGTCCTTCTTTATCTAAAAGCTGCTAACCCAACTCTAATCTCGAAGAGCCCCTCCATTTTTCCCATGAGGTCCACTCATAACGTTTGTGGGGGCATTATGTACCCAACACAGTCCTGATTCATTTTTACGAGATCATTTCTAACCTCTCTTTATCTCTTAGAATTAAACAAGCTATTTTCACTGAGCCTTCAAGACTACTCTATGTTAATAAGCTCTGTTCTGATTGGCTGCTGTTTATCGCACTTTGTTCTAGAACTGAAACGGCTGAAACACTCTTTATAACTTCAGCGTGAATGGGCGGAGCTAAACTGCTGTAGGCTGATATGTAAACACGTTGGTTTTTCCCAAAGATACTAAAATTAAAAATGGGCATTTTTTCCTGTTTAATTTCCATATATGGACTGTGTGGACTGGGACTGAAAGGTGTGTTTTGAAATTGTAATGTTTACATATTAAATTATAAGGGTGGGTTATATGGCTAAAATATCATAACACAATATATATAGACATTTTTACTATAGGCAAAACATATCACAATATTTTGACAGACACAATGGACTAGATGTGCCACATTTAAAAGGTATTTATTCAGCGTTTTACATACTTTACTGCACTAATCTAGTCAAACCATTTTTTTCATTGAAACGTACTGTTGCCCAGGCTTCTTTGTGTATGAACATTATCCACAATGTGCTCAGAAAACTATGTATCACAATAACAAAATATATTATTTCCATGATAAAATATTGATATATTGCTTTCCATGAAATGTGCCATTTAACCTCAGCAACCAAAATACCATCTTTAAAATGAATTTATAATTCATCATTTCTTTTATTAATTTTTAAATAATTCTTTTTGTAAAAAGGCACATCCCTACAATATCGAAATATACATGTTTTCCATCATCCTGCGCCATAAAGAGCTACACACCTGGCACATGATTGCTCAGTAGACACGGACATTTTATCAATCTCCGCCCTCGTACTGGCATACACAGGTATGCACACATAAATACACACTCCATACTCATGGGACGCATACAGATGTGGGGGGCAGATGTAAGAATGTGGGGGTGAAGGGGGCTGCAGTGCAGCTGAGTTGGTACAACTATCAGTTAGGAACTGTGCTTGTGTACAGAGAGTAGTACTGTGTAGTAGTGCTGTGTGCTTGCTTGACCCTTTCTGTCATAGTCACGTTTAATTTGTAGGCTGGGAAGTATATGAGAGAGAGAGGGACAGGATGAGAAGAGAGAAAGATGAAGAAAAGGCAGAAGAGGAGCCATAGGAGGAGAGAGAGGCTGAGGCTGTTTTGCACGCTGGATTTCAGTGAGGATGGAGCGCTAGAGGAGTGTGTAGAGGAATGGTGTGAATCAGGGTAGGGGGATGGGAATAGACACTGAGCGAGACTGTGTGTGTGTGTGTGTGTGTGTGTGTGTGTGTGTGCCAGAGGGAGAAGAGAAACACGAAGAGAGAAAAAACGAGACCCTCGCTGCATTGCTATGCTCTTAATACTAACCATGCTGAACGACCCCTCCCCCCCATTTTCCTGCGTTAGACAGCTCACAATCACACGCTTTAGAAACACACGCACACTCTCCCAGTTTCACGATGTGAACTCAAGGGGCTTAGACATGCTCTGGTACTCTCTGTGTACAACCCAACATTGACTGCATGCAACCCGTCTGCTAATTCCTGTTTTTTTAGGATTTATAGGATTTGTTTCTTTTTCTTCTTTGATGAGTGGGACTTTGTCTATATTTCTATATTTTCATTTTGCCTATTTGTGCTCCTTTTTCTTCAAGGACCTTCAAGAATTCGGTGTTGTCCATGTGTCTACCCCACTCCTTACCCACCCTCCATCTCTCCCTCCTTCTCCCTCCCTCCTCCTGACCGTATGCCCCGGCCTCCTTGCACGCACTTGCTTTCGTGGGACATTCTCAGTGTACAGTTTTGTTTTTTTTTTTTTATTAAAAGTGCAGTTTTTGCTTAAACCACAGGAGCCTGTGTATTATCTGTATATTGCCTGTGTGTCTGTGTATGAAAGTCTGAATTTGTCTTGATTTATAAAGAGCTGCCAGTTTATTAGAAATGCCAATTTGTGCCTACACTAATTGGTCATTTTTCCAGGTGTATCAACCATACAGGTGCAATTTTTAGCTATACAGTTTCAGAATGTAGCCCATCTGTTGCTATAAACAGTTTGTCTCCTGTAATTAAACTGCAAGCTTAGTCTATAGTGTTGCTCTTATTTTCATCAGACTAAAAGATCTGGCATATGATTTCCAGTTAGGGCTGGGCGATACAGCAAATACATACATATTCACATGCAACAATAATCACAATAGGTTGTAACAGAGAAAAAAATACTATAAAAATACTATCTAAAAGTATTAATATAATGATTTTCATTTAGCACATTTTCGCATACTGTGCTAGAGTAAATCTAGTAATATTTAACCAGGCCTAACTGATCTAGTAATAGTTAACCAGGCCTAATTATGCTCTCTTTAAAACGTGCAGTTGATGAGGGTTTTTTAAGTCAATATCTTTGAAAAACAAATTTTCCTTACTTTTTTGGAATAAAAGAGTTTGATGAAGGTTGCAAACATTGTTTCAAAACATACTGTTCGCAGCCCGTTCCTGAATTCATTGGTTTCGTGATGTCTCTCATTAAGCCTACAGCAGTTCAGCCCAGCTCATTCATACTGGAGTTATAAGGAGTGTTCCAGTATGATGGAGGGCAGCCAATCAGAACAGAGCTCAATTATCAGTCTTAAAGGCACAGTGACAAAAGCAGCCTGTTAAACTCTAAGAAATAAAGAGAGGTTGGAAAATGTTTATGTAAAAATGAATTAGGACTGTTTTTTTGGGTCTTAAACCCACATACAGGTAGACTTCAGGTAACGAAAATAAGTATATAAGTAAAAATGTAAGATGTGGGCCTTTTAAATACTGAAATTGTCCTCAGTATGCTCAAAAAAGCAGTCGTATTGTCCAGCTCTGTTCCCTGTGTACTTGTATCACTTTGATCACTTGTATAAATGGCCAAAAAGCTAATTTGAATCTCGATTCTTTCTTCCTCACTTTCCCTGCCCAGTCATGCAGTCTGCAGGAAGCACTTCCTCCCAGCCACCGCTGGACACACCCAGCTCGGGTGACAGCTTCCTGTTCAGTGATGATGACTCTGAGGTCTTCCTGTTGGAGGAGAGTGAGGGCCGCTCCAGCCAGAGCGTGTGCAGTCTGGACGGCGGCCTGGATAGTCCCGGCTCCCAGTGGGCCCGAGACGGCTTCGGAGAGAGCTCAGAGGTCAGCAGGGATCACAGCAGATCAGCTTCTGGATCCAACTCGTCCTCCTCCCTCTCCCTCTCCTCTTCCTCCTCCTCGGGGCTAGGCTGGAGCAGCGCGGAGGGCAAGGGAGGAAAGGAGAAGGAAAAATCCGGAGGGACACAAGGAGACGCATTCTTTGCTCAGAAAGTGAGAGTTATTTCCATTGTTCACACTCCTAAGCCCCCTCCTTGAAACATCTCTTCATATGTTTCATTTCATTGGTCATAGTTCATTGAAACAAGTGGAGGGATGCTGTTGAAAGTCAGTATTTTAATCTTTGATAAACTTGAACAGTCAATATCATGTGTTTGTGTGTGTGCGTGTGTGTGTGTGAGGAAATATTTTATCATGATATGATTTTAATGAAAGGTTGCAGTTGTGTGTACAGACAGTTTTGCGAGTCAAACAGTTAACCATCTTTTAAAATTTTTACTCATCAGCATCGGCAGATACAGGACTGTGCAGAAGTCAGACACCGCCTGTCATTTATTTAATTTCCAGTCTAAAAGTACAACATATTTAGCCAATAAGTACAAGATATTTATTTTTATCAACAGGAAAAAACAGTATAGCAAAGCATAGTAAAAAATATAAAACATATTTCACAGAAATCCCAACTACATATACAACTAAATATAATATACAGATTTTCAGTATTTAGTGTGTCCACATTTTACCTTTTATTGCAGCTTCCATTCTTATCAGACTTACTTTAAGTTTTTCGAAGAAATCTGAAGAGAGATTTTTTTTCACACTTTCAAAGTTCAGTCTTAGAAGTTGGTTGCATTTTCTGCTTCCCACAGTCCAAGTAATCCCAAACACATTCAGTGATGTTGAGGTCTGCACTGGGGTGGTCAGTCCATTGTTCTGAGAACACCGGCAGCTTCTTTGTTTGATTTGCAAATGTTCTCAGTAACAGCTTCTTGACAGCTACACATCTTTTCAGACTCATAGTGTTAAGTTGTTTTCTCTCAGTGGAAGGATGGACAAAAACACCCATGGATTTTTTTAGATCTGAAGTAAGAGTAGAGCCTGATTTTCTCCTCTCTCTCAAAGATGAAAGCTTTAAGTGTGTTTATCTGATGGGGACAGTTTTGGTGGTCTAGCAGGTCTTGCATGGTTGTTAGGAGTCCCATTTTCTCTGTATCTTTTAATCATTTTTTAACTTCAGTTTTGAAAACCACTTATTTTCTTTTGACTTTGCAGGGTGGTCTCTGACTTTTGCACAGTACTGTGTATGTACATGAGAAATGCCATCGGCCCACAGTCCGTGTATCAGTTTGTCCCTGTGTAATTATGCACAAATAAATATGTAATGTACCTCAGAACTAAGCAATAGTGAGCACTCTAGATATGTAAGAGTTAAGTTTCCGAGGGAGACGTGAGGAGCTTGAAGTTTCAGTTGGTAATTTACTTTTTTTCTCCTTTTTGCTCTTCTCTTCCTGCCAGTGTTTGGAGCTTCAGGGATTCGTCAGGCCCCTGTTGGAGCTTTTGAATGGACTGAAGAAAGGACGATTTGACAAAGGTGAGAGCAGAGCAAGCAGCTCACGTGTATTATGTTTTAAGCACATTTCTGACTGATTTTGTGTTCTTGCTGAAAAGTGTCTTTGTATTTCGTGTATTTAAGCTTTAGCCTTCTCTGTTTATGTTCAGATGAGGGCATGTGTGCGCAGCGTTCTTTTGTTTTCATGTGCATTGAACAGTGTGTGCTTTTATAGTGTATTTTAGGGCTGTAATTATCTGTGCAGCTGTGTGTGTGTGTGTGTGTGTGTGTGTGTGTGTGGGCAGACAGGATTTCCTCTGTTTAGATCTCTCTGATGTAAAAAAAAATGGTTTGAGTCTTTGTTATTTATCTGAGGGCTCACTACGTCCTTCAGTGTTACTTTTTGTCTTCAGTGTTGAGGCACCTTCACTCAAGAACACAGGATACTGCAGCATGAACTTTAACAACACGTGGTTGCTTTCATTCACCCAGCAGTGATTACACGATACTCAAAGCTTTAGAGTTTTCTTTCTAAGTATGTTAATTCACATTACATACATGTACAAAGTATGTCCTGGGAATAATTTTTCTGTGTTCAATAAATGGTCAGTGTTTTGTGCTAAAGTTCTCCTCTTTCGATGTAAACTGAGCAGTCTTAATCTTGGGTAAAGCTTATATAAGCAGTGTCCTCACCAATTATAAGGCTAATGGGTGTTGCCCCACCCACACAGTTAACAAAACTGTGTCCTCCACCTCCTCAGTGTCTCTGTGTTTGGGTCAGAAAACTTACAGAGAAAGTTAACCTAGCAAGCAGAACTGAATTTTAGACCATGCCCAGACAGTTCTCACATAGGTCTGATCATATACACATATTCTCACATAGTAGTATTATGTAGGCTTTTTAATGTTTTACACTGTGATCCCTGGTGATTTAAATGGTAGGTTGTGCTCCCTGTTAACCCCTTAAACTCCTTTCATTATTTTCTTCTTGATCTTAAGGCTTATTGACCAGTAACTAGGGAAATTTGATAAATGTCTTTGTATCAGTGTGGACATCGGCAGATATATACATAAAAAATATTCGATGTCTGCATCAGCCTGTAATTCTCATATTAGTGCATCCACGGTAACTACTACAAATTTGTTAGTAACTGCAATGAAACTACTCTGTAAGTTATGTTATGAGAGTGAGGAAAAGTCTGGACCTCCTTAGAGTTTAGAGTTAATTATTGACGCAGTTCTGGTTTAGACCATCTTGTCATTCTTTCTCAAGTGGAATGTACTTTGGAAGTACATCTGTAAATGTGCTTTGTGGTCTAAAATTGCTCAACCAGCACTACCCATCATTCACATCCTGCTGCTAAATGAAATTATAACTTGACTGCATGTGTGGAAGGGTTTGTCTTGCTTTATCTGACCAGATGCAACTGAACAGATTAGATAAGACTGCAGCTGATTGACTTCATGCACACACGCAAAATTCAAGTGCAGAATCACTCAGCACAATGCTGCATTTGAGGCTGACTTACCATTGTTGATCTGTTTGATTGGCAGGTCTGAGCAGTTTCCAGCAGAGTGTTGCCATGGACCGAATCCAGAGGATTGTGGGAGTGCTGCAGAAGCCTCACATTGGGTAAGAGGAATGAAGGCAGTGTGAAAATGTGAATTGTGCAATTGTTTCATTATAATCTGAGAGTTGGATTATGTAAGAATTTAAGTATGTCTAAATGCTTGCTTGCTGTTGCTTGATTGCTGCACTACACTGCTGGTCAAAAGTTTGGAATCAAATGTTGCTGTTATTTTATTCGATAACAAACAGCTTGAATTACTAAGCTAGACACTAAAGGATGTTTTATAATATACTGCAATTTATTGATAAGTTGTCTACCCTGAAATTCTGGGTGTTCCTTTTTTTATAAATTCATTCTCAGTGTTATACAGCATTTTAAGTCATTTCAAGCTTAAACTAGGCCCATAAATAACCCACAGATTTCTTTTAAGTTGTAGCAGCATTGCACTAGTACAAAACTCTAGTACAAAGGTCCTGGGGTCTGTTGGACTGGTGAGGAAAATAACTAATTAACTAAGGGATCAGCCAAAAAAAACAGTTGATGGTTGATAGCTGTGTTCAAAGTTTGTCCACCTAAAGTTTGTTTAATTGGTAAAAACGGCTCTTCACTTCATTAACATGCCATACATGAAATAATAATAATAATGTGCGTGAAATAGCAAGCGTCGTGGAACATTTTAGGCTGGTCATGCTGTTTCTGGTGTAAAATCACCAAACATTTGCTTTATTTCCTACTCACCTCTCACTCTATCTGTTCTTTTTCTCTGCAGGGAGAAGTATTTGCCCACCCTGTTGCAGATAGAGATGATGCTAAAACTCTGGTTCCCTCAAGTGACCCTTCGCCCTGCAGGGACAACCGTCTCCACAGACCTTTCAGGACAGGGCACGTCTAGTACTAACACACCCCCACACAAGCACAAAGACCAACTGCACATTCCAGTTAAGGTGAGAATACGCAAACGCACACACACATATAGAATGTTGTGAGTGTATGTACCACACAGTCAGAAAAAAAGTACAGGGACAAACAATGTAAATGTACCCTCAAAGGTATAATAATGGTATTTAAGTCCGACTGTGCACCATAAATGACTTTTAAAGGTACACTACATTCATTTTTTTCCAGGGAAAGGTGCATATGTGTGCCTGTTTGAAGCTTTTTTAAGTACAAAAATAAAAGCTGGAGCCAGGCCATGGTGTATGGTGTCAATGTAACTTAATTATATTTGCAACAGAAGATGGTACAGTTATATTCTCTAACTAAAGGTACTAGAGACACAACCTTGAGTGGAACCACCTCAGTGTCAGTGATGTTACAAATTAGGCACTGATTGCTGATGTGCTCTTTCTCTTTTTCTTTTACTCTTTCTTCCTTATTCTCTTTCTTTTTCTCTCTGTTCCTCTCTTTGTCTGACTCTCTCTCTCACGCTCTCTCTCTCTCTCTCTCTCTCTCTCTCTCTCTGTCTTACTCTCTCACTCTGCAGAAGCGAAGGCTGAGTTGGTCCGACACAGACTCCTCTTCCACTCCTCCTCCTGTTGCATGTAAGCAGGTCAAAGTTCATGAAAAGTTGAGTCAGCAGACGAAAGAGGAAGGAGGTGAGGGCTCATCTGGATGTAGACCACAAATAGACCAATCAGAGAAGAGAGAAGGGAAAACGTCAGGACACAAAGCCATCCACTGGTCCGAGCCTAGCCTGACGTGGGTGCATGTTGCACCCATCTTCTCTCCCCCTAAGTCCTGCCCCTCTCACGAAGGTGGAGACGGGGCCAAACAGAGTGGGCGTGGCTATGTTCTGCTCACAATCCCTCCTCCCACCAGCAGGGGCAGTCCGGCGACCCAGGACAGCTCCATCTCCTCCACGACACCCTTCTCTGAACCTGTCGGGTGCCAAAGCCAGCCAGTCGACACAGAGACAACGAATCCGGCGAGTGGGTGGGAGCAGTCCCCTCCAATCACAACACAGCCTTCAAGTCGGGCAGAGCTCCGCCCATTAGAAACTTGAACGCACTAAAAACAAGCACAACCAAAAGAGAAACTTGTCAGAGCAATTGTGTGGAGAACTTCGAGGTATTTCCTTTAAAGTGATCGCTTAAACAGTGTTTTTTTTATTTTTGATGAATATCTGGGCAGCTTTGGATTGGCTTGTCTGAGAATACATGCTTTTAAGATTCTTTTAAAAAAAAGGATTGAAAACCAGTGAAAACCAGGCCCATGAATTACAGCTGCAATGTGACATGCTGATCTAGAATCAGTTACCCAGTCCTGTGAATGAAATGGAAAGAAGTAGTGGGGTGTGTGTGCGCATGCTTGCAAATGTGTTTGTGTGTGTGTGTGTGTGTGTGTGTGTGTGTGTGTGTGTGTGTGTAATTGGTAGGAAGTTGAAGACATAGATTTGGCTGGAGCCCCAAATTTGTAAGGTCAATTAGAACCAGCATGCAATAATGTACTGAAAGGTCAGCATTAGGTCAGTATTTCACATTAGTGTTCATTTTGGCAATTTCAGAGTAAAGAAATATGCGTACGCGCACACACACACACACACACACACACACAGTGTAAAAAGTGTTGCTTTAAATTTATTTGATTCAAATACATGAATAAAATGCTTTTCATTAACACTATTCTTGCCAAAAGTAAATGAAATGAACAACAGCAATTGTCTTGATTTCATTTCATTCAGGTGGAACCAACATAAACAATTGATTTCAATTAAACTTAGAGCAACACTTTTATTAGTAAAGAGCCGCAGCTGCCCAGAACTGTGTTGTCCTGCCATGTTGTATCGCAGATGCTGGTTAAGTATTTGGAAGGTGCAGCCGTCTAAATGCTGGACCTATCATCGGGAGACTGCAAGTTCAGTCCCTGGCGATGCCACAGCCATCCTTGGCCAGGAGTGGCCTCACTCTCCTTGGGTGGGTAAGATGGCCCTCCTTCTCCCCCCTTCAATAGCCAATATGGATGCGTGTTTGCTGACGTAACAGAATTGGTAGTTAGTGTTCTCCTCCAAGTGTGTTGAGCTGTTCATTAGTAGTGCATTAGCATCAGTTTGGTTTAACCCAGAGGTAGCATGTGCTAGCCTTCACTCTCCCAGCTTGGTAGCATTGTGTGATGGGGAGGCCTCGCTAATGGGTGGGAATAGGACATGACTAAATTGGGGAGAAGATGGGAAATTGCAGCAGGATATCACAGTTCAGGGACAAAGGCTGTTTGTACCACTGAATATAAAAATGTAGCACCGATTATGAACTGACACTTTTATTATGACTGATGTAACAATTGATGAAGTGTGGGGGTCCGTTGCAATGACCACTAAGTGAAAGATCACAACATTTTACTGGACTGATGCCTGTTTACTAATTCGGCATCTGGATAAAGAACTCCAGTTGCAATGTTTCAGAGGTGAACAGTCTTTATTTTTCGTCCAAGTTACAACAGACCGTTGCAGGACAAGATGTTTCGAATCAGGAATTCCAGGCTAGAATGAATAGGCTGTTTTGCACATATTGCAGATCAGCATGCCTACAAACATTTAACTTATTAAAACAATCACAGTTGCATTATTTGATTCATTTCAGCGCACATAAGAAGCATAATTAGATGAACTGAAATAGGAAAAAAACATCTTGTAAATCATCTTTTATGCGGCTTCCTAAAATAGTTTGTCCACTTATGATAGAGTACTCCGTCATGTGATGTTGCAGACTAATGAAATCACTCCCTCCTGGAAGTCCCCTGTGTTCAGTCTTTGGAAATCATAGGGAAAAATGGGAGAAAGGGAGTAAAATTTAAAGCACTTTATCTGAATTGGAACGGAAACATGTAGCATCAGGCGAGGTCAGGCGAGGGGCAGTGCTGAAGGCTTGTGTGTAATTGTAAGTCAAGTTACAATGTGTAGTGGTTTAACTAGGTTAAGCTGCAAAGCACTGCATTGAGTCAATCGTCCATTGTAGATCATTTAACCCCTTAAACTCTAGATTTATTATTGTTATTAAGGCTTATTATCTTACAGCTTATTATTCAGTAATTACTACGAAGTAACTTGCATTAAACTAATTTATCAATTAACTATTTGTGACAGGTATGTAGTTACATTATTATTGCAATTTCAGCCATAAGAATCATTGACTGAGTCAAGGTTGATCAATTAATATGTAATTTAGCTCTCAAAGCATACTGCTTAGGGCTTAATGACATATTGTGTCCTCCAACGGTGATCTTGCGCTAAGCCGTGATCATTGCACTTGGCCCAAAGGGTTTGTAACAGGGCATTATGCAGCCTATCTCTGCATCTGATACAATCAAAACCCTTTCAACCAAAATGAGACTTGCTGTGCTCACAGTGGTAGGATTTACAAAGTGAGCGATATTTCCACCTCTGGTGTGAGAAACTCTCCTGCCAGTATTGTACTAACGATGTCAATATGGCTGAAAGAAAGGACACTCGAGCACTGAATGAAGAAAGTGGCGTAGTCGACCATAAAGAAAAAATACTATGGAAAAAAGAAGATGCACAAAGTGGTGCAATATGCAGAAAGGGAGGAGAGAATGTACAGTGTCTGAATGAAAGCAAAGAGCCATGGGGTCTGGGGCAAGGGTCATCGGTCAGGGTTTCAAGAGTTACATCAGCGGTCACTCTTGGAATAAACATCAAACCTTATATGCCCCGCCCCTAGATTCCAGTCTTTATTTATTCATTTGTTGATTTATGCATTTATTTATGTTCGTTTGGTTATTTATTCATATGGCAGCTGGCAGAATAGGCGCTTATTCTACAGCTTGCTTTGTAGAGGTTTAAGTTGTGTTTTTTTTTGGTGAGATTAATATCAACATTAATGGAAAAATGAAGGAAATCGCTGATTGGAAAAACCTGTGCCTTTTCACCAAATAGGATGTGCAAAAGTATTTACGCTACATTTTGATTGTGGATTTTTAGAGGAAAAGGGGTACAGATTATAAAGTACTCAAACACACGAATCTCTGCAAATCCTCAAACGCATACACTGACAATGTGCTTTATTAGAATCTCCTACCTTACTGGCCACTGTATGAGCTCCACCCTATCTTATAGCTCCACTATATAGGTGTACAGTTACAAACTGTAGCCCATCTGTTGTGAAGTACAGTTTCCATGGTAGTGGCACAGCAATGAATGCCATGCTGGTACAAGTATATCAGGTACCCCGGTGTTGCTGAAGGTTTTACACACATCGGCAGGTTGCGAGTCAGTTAGCTGAAGATTAATTGATGTATAAATAATTGCGGTTAACATGTTTTTTGTTCATTACAGCTATTAACGTACAAGCCTAAAGTGGCTAAATTGGCTGATTATCTCCCAGCTAACAATACAGCTCAAGCTCAAATAGACTCACTGCTGCCCTCTACAGGTGTTATTGCACCTGTTAGAAGTTAGAACTTTAGTTCTATAAACCAGGAGTCTGTGATCTTAAGAATTACTGAGTCAGGCATCCAACTCTTTCAACACATTTGCAATCACTTGGGGAAGGGGTCTGAGGCACAACTGACCTTACAGAACGTTCTTCCGGACGTTGCATGCAATTACACATTTTCACCAGAGAGGTCCCTAAAAAATCCCTAAAAGTTCTGTAGTGTAGCTTTATTTGCATGCCTTTGCCTTGACCCAGCTGTGAAAAATAATTCCGATCATCTCAAATGAGATCAGGCGATTATGTAATAATTTTGAAAGGCTTAGGTGGGAAATACCCTGCAGCACTGTGGTCAGAAGCTGACCACTGATGAAAGACTTGTGCATGAACATATGGACTCCAGTTTGCTGTACACCACCAGGGTGGTCCTAGAGAGTAGGGGTTTCTAATAAAGTGACCGGAGAGTGTAAAAGCATTTATGTTTTTGTGATCCACACCAACAAGCAGCCATAGCAACAGAAGCAGTGATAGCGGTTCAGACCTGTCACCGAGCATCTTGCACTCTCAGAATCCACCAAACATGACAGTCGATTTCCAACGAACACATCCAGGATATGGAGTGATGCCCCCTTCACTCCTTTTTGGAGCGCTGAGACTGATGGTGAACACATTTCATCATCTGTCACAGTCAATTCCCACATTAATCATCTAGCAGTGTCTAAAAACTTGAAAACATTGTATCACATTTGGTTGATATGATATAAAAAGGGACGAAAAATCAAACTGCATCAAACTTCATGTGCTGCTGAAGTGTTTCTAAAAGAGATTTTTAACGGTTATTGATATAATTCACTCTGCTCTGTGTGCAGTTTCACAATTCTAAACTCAAACAACGTTTACTGCCCTGGCAATGCATTCATTTTCTATTTGAAGTGTGCGTTCATTCTTTCTTTTTTTTTTTGTTTGTTTGTTTTTTTTGGTTATTTTTCAACATAACGTTTTTGTACAAATTGATTGCACTTACTTTGGTTCTATTTTTTCATGTTTTTAGCTGTACAGATCAATACAGCTGGTCATGAATGATGAAGCGAATGACCTTGTTTCTTGAGCCTTTTTTTTGTACGACAGTAGAGCCCCTTTCTCCTTTGCTGAAGCCCTTTCCTCCTTTCTTCTTCCTCTCGCTCTTCCTCTGTCCTGCTCACTTTGTTGATTCCCTCTTCTACTTCTCTCCTGTGTTTCTTCCCCTCGCTCTGTAGCTTTATTGTTCTTTCTACTTTTTCAATAAGGAAAAAATGGAAATCTTTTAATAAACAAAACATTTTGGAAATAATCTCTGTGTGGAACAGTGTGCTTCGAGTGTGTTTGTTTTTGTAAAGCTAAATGGTCCTGAAAACAAACATCTTTTAAACATTTTCAGCTTTATTGCTGGGGTTAATGTTAGGTTTAGGGTTAGAGTTCTTCCTACAAATAAACATTTACATACATATAATATGTGTGGGACATACTACTACTGCTACTACTACTGTTGTTAGTATTATTATAGGTATTTAACACTCACACAGCTATATATGTTGTGTGTGTGTGTGTGTGTGAATAGTACTAGGCAACAAAAGTCTACAAAAGCACCTATGTACATTATTTAAAACCATTTATCTTATTATTTTTTGTGTTTTGCTTCTAAAAACACCATATAGCAGTACATACATATATATAGAATACACATAAAATCTAATTCTAAATCTAATTTACATAATTTGAGCATAGTAGGTACCCTTTACATTGTGGGATAATGTCATGCTGAATTGGCTGACAGAAATCCTCCAAAATTACTTGGAATAAAATCTCTACATTAAACTACATTGAAAGTAAAGAAAGTTTTTTTCCCCCATAAAGTCACCTTTTTGGAGATACTTGTTTTTCTTTGGACAGCAATGATATACATATATATGGCCAAAAGTATGTGGACACAAATATTGCGTTCAAGTGTTTCAGCTAACTCATTGCAAACTGGTGTATACAATCAAGTACATAGGCGTGCAGTCTATATAGACAAACACTATGAATGGGTCATATTGAAAAGCTCAGTGGCTTCAAACCTGGTGCTGTTATTAAACTGGGGACCATTCTTAATAATGGGGGATTATGCCATTAATTCTTCTTAAAACAGAGTTTCTGCTGTTCATAAGCTTATTTATTATTTAAAAAATCATTGATCTGGAATAAAACAATGAGTGGGCTTATTCAGAACACAGTTGGGCTTATTTAGTAAAGGGGACCCATTTAAGCCCAGTCCAGATTTTTCATCTTTTCCTTTCTTTATTGCAGTTTTTTAAATAAATCATATAAATTTGCTTTATCATGTGAAATAAGAAAAATCTTTCATTTCATTAAAAGATATATCACTAGAAACTGAAAAATCCATACCAGAATTATGTTTACTCAGATATATGTGGGCTTATTAGGGGTTTTCCCCCTATATGTAACACATATTGAAAATATTATTATTACATATAGGTAGTTACCCATTATGTACACAGTCAAATTATCACATAGAAAATTAACATAATGTGATTTTGTCCAGGGCACCCAAACTGTTGTATACAACTGTATATGTAGTACATATGGAACACTCTTACTTTAGCTGCTAACGATGTAACCCCAGTAGCGGAGGAGAAGTCTGCTCAGGCAGATGTGCCACTGCAGGGGGTGCAGCATTAAGGCCTATGTGTTTTGGAAAGGGGGAAGAGAGAAAAAGAGAGAGAGAGTGATAAAGAGAGCATGGGAAGCAGTGCTATAATACGTGGCCTTCACTCTTTTAATCTGTTTTGGATTGAGTGGGTCTTAGCCACGTCCCAGCTGGTTAGCACATCCTCCGTGACTGTGTGCTCGTGTGTGTGTGTGTAATGAGCTGTGTACTTGTTTTCATGTGTTATGTGTGTTGTGCCTGTGGGACGATCATGTTCAGGCAGAAACCATCTTCGCCTTACTTGACTCTCTCTGGCCTGTAGATCTAACCTTGAGCAAAAGCTCCTCATGCCTCACTATTGTGCTAGTACAAACCCATTTCCAAAAAAGTTGGGATGCTGTGCAAAATGTAAATAAAAATTATGCAGTTATGTGCAAATTATTTAAACCTTACATTCAATAGTAAATAGTACAAAGACAACATATCAAATGTAGAAACTGAGAATTTTTTTTTTTTTTAACTATGCCCATCTTGAATTTTACGCCAACAACACGGCTATGTTTACCACTGTGTTGTATCACCTCTTCTTTTAACAGCACTCTGTAAGTGTTTGGGAACGGAGGAGACCAACTGATGTAGTTCTGAAAGTGAAATGTTTTCTGATTCAAAGTCAAACAATTTTCTCTTTATCCCAAATGCAGTTGATCAGCCAAAACATGTTCGGTGTCTGATGTTTGCTTCTTTAGTTTTGCGCTGCTGCTACGAGGCTAATGTAGACTCTAGATAACAAGCAGTGGAAGCTCATGCATGCCTAAATCATCCTAACTCCATTCTGGTCCTGGAGGACCGGTGTCCATTGCAGTTTGGTGATTTCTCTTCTCAAACTCACCAACTAAACCTGGCAAACAACAAACAAGTAGAATCAGATGTGTTGGAGCAGGTGATTCACTGAACTGTGCCGAACACCAGAGCTCAAGAATTCTGTCCTAAATCATCACATACTCACCTCAAACCACATCATGTTGTCATGCAATCTCCAATAGACATGCTCAAGGCCATACCTTTGGATTGAACATAGGGGGAGTGGGCTTAACAGGACCTTCTTTGGGGGTCCAGGGGAGTAAAGTTATAGGAAAGAAATGGCAAAAGCTATAAACAGCTTTTGGCAATATACAAGAACTACAAAATATAGAGAAGTATGTTTTTAGAACCATGGAAAAATATTTTATTCAATATTCGTGAGGTCAATATAAGAAATACTGTTATACTGGAAATAAATGCTATCCATTAAAATCAGTAATACCAACATTTTTACCAGTTAATTTTTGAGGAGGTTATATGGCCAACTTATAATTACTAATTATAATTAGTTGTAACCCCCCCAAGTCCCCCAGACTTACGCCTATGGACTTTCTGACGCTGAATGATAGAGTGGTTATTGGTTAACATGGATTTAATTCTCTTTTTTCATTGATCAATCTAAACATTTCTGTCCAATGATTATTCAGTTCATTTTTTTGTTGTGTTATTGTTTGCTATCCAGTGTCAGTCAGAGGAGAATGGCTTTCTCTTCTGAGTCTTGGTTCTTCTCAAGGTTTCTTCCTCTTGCTTTTAGGAAGTTTTTCATGCCCCTGTGGACCCTGACTTGCTCGTTTGGGGCTCAGGCCCAAATTTTCTGTGAAGCTTCTTTGTGAGAATGGCCGTTGAAAAAGTGCTATATAAATAAATCTTTAATTAAATTGAATCGGTATCTAAAATAGACAAAAAAGGGGGAAAACTGTACATTTTTACAGAATTATTATTTTTCATTTAACTTTCTTTGCCTGAACAAGCTATGGTCAGCTGTTGCTTTAACCTTCTCTGTAGCCATGGTAACAACGCCAGGAACTGGTTTTCTGCTTTTATTAATAACCACCGCCACCAGTTCGTCCGTCACACGAGCAGCTCCAGGTGCTTTTAGAGACCCTCTCTGAGTGGGTCTGTACCATGGCAGCACACACACACACACACACACACACACACACACACACGGAGTGCAGCTCCATGCACACTGAGGACAGGAATACGGAGAGGCCTGATAATAACAGAATCAAAACTAATATATTTGTGTTTCTGCTTGCAAAACAGTAATCAATTTCAAATGGCTAATTTCTTCTCCTCCCACCTTCTGCCCAATGACCTCTGGGATAGGCTCAACATCACACAGCCAGTTATGCTGATTCAAATAATAAACGGCTGATGTCTAACCTTGAAACTACTCCGTTGAATCAGTTGAAAAAAATTATGAATAAAATATAAAGTTTGCAGAGCTGTTTCTGAATGTGAATCAAGTCTGATATGTTTAGATCTGTTTGAGGATCTCAGAAACATTTATGATTACAAACAGCAACTTAATAATTACCTCATACTGTACTAATGACTTTTATAATTGGGCAGCAGTTACATATGTTCACTGTCCTAAGAAAAACAAGTATGTCCAAAATGGTAACTTCACAGGAGAGGGCAAGAACATTCTTAAATTTAATGGAACTTAATGCAATTATGAAGCATTTCTGTTTGTCCAATTATTATAACATTTTTACACAATGTAAAGGGCAGCTGCTGAGCTCAAATCATGTAGAAAACTAAAAATTGCTAATGCTTTTTTTTTTTGGCCAGCGACGATATGCATTAATAATTAGCGCCATTTGACCTGTTAACCTTTTACTTAGTAACCAACAAATAATCAAGAATTTGTTTGAATTGTAATCACTAATTATATGTTGTTAATAATTTAGTTGTTTTGTACTCATAACTCAAGAAGTATATAACTTGAAACATTTAGCGTTCGTAGTTGCATAAAAACACTTGATTATGAATGAATTGATTACGTCCTGTTTTAAATGTTTTAGTGGGCATCTATTACCTTATTCTGTGATGCATGAACTTAATGAGTAGTTCATCATTAAATACATACATACATACATCATCTAAACCGCTTATCCTTCTGGGTCGCGGTGGGGTGCTGGAGCCTATCCCAGCTGTCATTGGGCGGAAGGCAGGATACACCCTGGACAGGTCGTCAGTCCATCGCAGGGCAGACAGAGAGACATACACAGTTCATCATTAAATAGTTAATATTTATTCATTTAAAACATTAATAATCAACTTTGTAATGCATTGACTGATTAAAGCACAAGTAACAAATATATAATTATTAACTATCATTAACAAACAATTAGATGATGATTAAGTTGCTGTTCATAGTGGCCTGTTGTTACAAAGTGTTACCAGGATCTCTCTTCTTCAGCACCATCAGTTTCATATTAGTGTGATTAGATGTTTCAACACATTGTTCAGTTCCCTCACTCACACTGCACAGCTCACCTTCACAGTCGAAGTTTGCAGCCAGCTGTTCCAGGTAGCGCACGCGCAAATTATGTACAAAGACAGGCAGGAATAATATAAGGACCTTTATACAGAATCAGTTGAAACTGCAGTATCACAGTAAAAAACAATGAAGTATCCAGACTTTAGAGATAAATAAGGATCATGTTATGATGTATTTAAATCCATTTAAGCATTAACAGAGATAGTACTAGGCTGAATATGTACAAAATCAACATTTATAGTGTATTTTCTACCCGGCAGTGTCTGTCCCAAAC